TGCCAAAAGAATTACTCATTCTTCCTAATGGGTTATTAACCCCTAAGCTTCTCTTCCTTCTTCTCTCATCTATTTAGGTTTTGACAATCTTGTTGACTGTTCATCCAAGCTTGGGATTGCAAAGCGTATGTTACAGAAGTAAGCCCAAAACAAACGCAGCCACATTTCTCTTGGATACTTGCTTTTTCACCCCACAAAATTTGGAACCCTACATCCCAGATATAGTCCCAAGTAGAAAACAATGCAGAAATATATGAAAGTTCATGCAACTAAACAAGGCGGGATGCACCATATCAGTCTCGTAGTGGTTGGTTTGATCTTATAGCAAACTTCTAAAGTGAGAATTGAATTGAAGAAATTTAAGGTTGCAAGGGCAAGGAAAGAAAGAAGAAATGCTGCTAAGACTCCAAAACAATTGACTGAATAGAATAGCATTGAGACAGAATATATCTAGGAGAATTGGCTCACTGCTGCTGTTATATGCACCTTATATTGTTGGTCAGCTTGGAGAATCTATGTAAGCTAAAGAAACTCATCATATAATTTTTTAGTTTCTAGCACAATGTAACTTCTTAATTCGGATACTATCACCATAACTAACTACTCACATGAAAACACATGGAGAAAAGAAGAACAAGTATGGAAAAATAGAAATTCAACTTCTTTTGTCAATTTTCATTTAGCTAAATCTTAGAGAAGCAACTGAAACTTCTGACACAAATCCTGAAACACAGACCTTCGGGTTAAGGTGACATGCAACCATCATGGCACCATGTATGGATTGTGAGAAGCAAAACTTAGACCAAGATGTCTCCTTGGGCCAATAAATAATCCTGAAAACATGGAAGAGACATATAAATCTGATAACACTGTGTATTCCATAAAGTTTCTGCCTGACTGATCATTTTGACTGAAGCATATTTAACCTCCAGGTAACTATATTTTCTCTTCTAAACAAGATAGAAATGACCACTGTATGTCAAAGATTGAAGTGGTTTAAAAGGACCACCTACATGTACCGAGAACTAAAGAAAGAAAGATGCCTCGTTAGTAGCAAAGAAATAAAGGAAAAAGAAGAACATGGTTTAGTATAGAAAACTCATATTTAAGGGTAGGACAAGTCAGTTGGATTGCTGGGTTCCATAGATCGGATAGCATTACACCATAGACTACGTTCCTAATGCAGGAGGAGTGTTTGCTGGTTTAACTAAAGTGAAATGTTTGCTTTCAGAATTACAATTTATATTAGTTTCCTTTTTCTCTTCAAAACAACATGCATGGAGATCATTGTACATCACCATAGGAAAATTTGATTAAAACTTCTGTAGGTAGTTCATCCTTTCAATCTCCAACATGACAAGCAATCATATGAAAGTCAATATTTACTTAAACACAGCCAAGGGCATCTATAAATTCTTCCAGAATATTAAGGTGCTACCAACTAAACTAAAGCCTGCAAGACTTGCACAATAAACAGATTCTAAGAATGTTCAGTAAGAACCAAAGATATTTTAGACATCCAAGGCCGATTCTTCTCTACGAGCACTTATCATCGGGATATTCTAGCCACGTCAACATCTCATCACTGTTTAGCGTTCAAAAGGCATAAACATCTGTTGACTTGGCTGTGAAGACCCATGTACTCATCTATCATCAGTATGACGCCGATGGCCCAGTAGATAAAGGATCAATGTAACCAGCGATAGAAGTGCCATAAAGTAGCAACTATAAAACGAAACAAAGAGGAAGAAAAAATACAGACCTTAGTGTCGAGCATGACAGCACAGAGGATCTGAGTGTTGTGCATAGCAGTGCGAAGATTGTTAAGGGTCTCCTGATGGTACTCGTGGCTGCCATGGGAAAAGTTGAAACGGGCTACGTTCATGCCCGCTTTAAGAAGTTTCTCCAGCATCGGCACCGATCGCGAAGCTGGGCCGAGAGTGCAGACAAGTTTAGTCTTGGGAACACGACCATCATTTGGAAGCTCCTTCAAGATCCCCTCAATGTCTATGTTCGCCATTTCCTACTCTTGCAGTTATCTCTGCGATCACAAAAGCACAAAGACATTATCAGGCATCTCAAATCCTCAACTTCCAAATTTGACATCATTTCAATATTTCTCTGTTCTCTTTAAAAAAAAAAAAGCAAAGAATCATAGGACATTAAAATAATAACAATCAATTAAGCGGATAGAAAATCGACGACAACCAAACATTATTTTCGCTCAAGAAATTTCACAGATCCATAATCTACTTAAAAAGACCACAAAAATAAACTAAGAAGAATAAATAACTGAACAAAGAAACACAAATCAACAATAACAGAAAAAGGAAAACTAAAAGAAAGAGGATATTACAAGATGAGAGAAACAAGGCGATGATGAAACGGAAATTGAGATCAGAATGAGAATGAGATCGAAGTTGGAAAGAGAAGTAGAAAACAAAGAGGAAGAAGAAGAGGAGGAGTTGAAGTAATGGTAGGGAGAACCTGGAGCTGACTGTGCATATATTATAAGATGTGAAGAGATGAAAATGGTGACCCTTAGCGAGGTTCAAGTAGCAGAAAATGGGAGAAGAGGAGTTAGGTTTTTATTTTATTTTATTTTATGAAGGCAGGGAGTAGAGTAAACGGTGGGCAGGTTTTTGACAGGTGGAGTGGAAAGTGTGTGTTAATCCTTGGAATATTCCTATATCCTCATTCAAATAATTCAATATTTTATATATATAATCATGTAAATTATTAGAAATTTATATTCTTAGAAAATGTAATTATTAATACATAATTTATCATTTTTATGTTTAACTACAGTTATTATTATTATTATAAGTAGAAGATAAACATAAACTTATTTGCATGATTGGTTAGTTTTATAAGATTGGAACAGAGATTGTTAATCAATTAACATCAAAGCATGAATGTTTCTGTGTTTTATGGTGTAAGTAGGAATATTCATTCATATCAGACGAAAGGAGGTCCAAATTAAACATTTTATTATTTTCATTTTAATATGGTTGAGACTATGAAACAAAAAGTATATTATAAATTAATATATAAATTATATGTGGTTTATACATATAAAATTAAATTAAAAGAAAATATTTTTATCATTTTTTGTTGTGTTGAGTCCACGGTTTTTGCTTTGGGAAAGGTGACTTTGGCTCTCAATGTGCGCCTTCCCACCTTTAATTACTCATGATTACCGCGTTGTCTCTTGTATTTTTTTTATTTTTTATTTTTTATTTTTTTTTAAAAAATAAAATAATAATATTATTATATACAAAAATATTAAAAAAATATACTTAAAAATATAAAATTATAAATCGATTAAATCCATCACAATCTCAATATTTTCTCAATTTATTATATCATGATCAATTACCAAAAGTATAAAAATAAAAAAAAAATTATTTTTCGTACGATACATTTTTTAATTGGATGACTTATTAAAATTATGTATGAGTTATTTTGACTTTTAAGTAAATTTTTATTATTTAATTTTAATTTTTTTATTATATTTTTTTGTTAGTAAATTTTAAAATAAATTTAAAAATAATTACTTTAAATTAAATCAAAGTATTTAAATTTAGTAAAAAAAAAGGAACTATTTTTAAACATAAATTAATTTTAAGTGGGAAGGTCCCCATCGAAAGAGTTGAAGATGGAGGAAAGCTTTTGAAATGCTTCAAGAGACATTTATTTGTTGTTACTTAAGGTTTTTGAGAAGGGGAAAGAAAATAATCATGGTTTTTAGAAGAACCCAAAATAAAAAAGAAAGAGAAAGAGAGAAAAGTTTGATTGTAGCTTCTCACTAAACTCTCAAAGTATATTCTTTTCCATGGGTCTCTCTACCTGCTTTATGAAAGAGGAAAACAAATTCTTCCAACACCCAAGTGTCTTTGTCCATTGACATCTTTCTAAGCTCTGGCCTCTGCCATGAAAATAATATACCTTCATTTATCTCCATCAACCCCCAACTGCAAAATCTGTTTGCCCATACTCAGAAATCTACCAGAGCCATTCGATGTGATCAAGGGTCTTTGGCTCATTGGTATTCCTACTCTCGAATCTTTTGGTGGTACGAAAGTTATTCAGGATTTTGACCTCAAACTTTTTTGAGTTAGGATTAAAAGTATAACTCCAACTCAAATTTATCAACTTCACTGCAGAAGTATCGACACATCCGAGCTACATGTTCTTTGTAACTCCTACTGACTCATCTAAAGCAGAAATGAAAATCATTGCCATAACCCCATTCAATAAGTGACCACCCATGAATACATGTTACCAGCTCATATGACCCTATGCAAACTATGTACCAGCTAGTCGAAAAATGAACCACCCAGCCAAGGCCTGTTTGTTCTACTGGCACAATTTGGGATTTGATCCTTAACTAGTCGTTTAAACAAAAGCACCACCACCCCAGGATTTAAAAAAGAAAAACCCATCCGAAAGGAGGAAATTTAACCGTAACCATCTCTGCTTCTTTTTTTTTTTCTTGATTTCGTTCCAAAAGCATCATGCTCAAGTCAAAAATCCTAATTCACATCTATTTTAGGATTGTCATAAAGCTATCAAACAAGCAAAAGGAGAAACTGCTCCCTTAAGCAGGGTCAACACTTCTGCAAACTGTACCAACACTTTTGCCACTGACATTCACTATTACGATTAGAATATTACAGGCACTACACTATGCGATTGTCAGTCACACACGCTTCGGTGGCACATACTGCACTCGCTCATCTTCACATAAATTCTGCAAAAAGTTCCCAGAAAATGAGCATGTCAAAGAAGGAATATGACTGAGAAAGGCAAACGTTTAAAAAGAAGGAAAAAGATGCAAACAAGGATAGCCATCAGAACCAAGGGTTGGATGTGAACATGCAATAACATTCAGCAAAAAGAGAGAGCAGGCAAAATTAGTATCCTACACCACACTATTGAGTCACATGGTTAGCATACAAAATGGAACGTTTCAAGATAATCTGGACTAATTTTTGTATATGGGTTGCACCCCCTTGGTGCTATAGCTTTAATATACTGCTCGTACTTTTTATTTAACAAAAAAAAAAAACCTGGACTAACAAACTAGAATGTTACTTTTTTTAAATGACAAATTTATTTATTGCACTTGCTATGAGAATCCTAACCTGCAAGTCCTCTGAGAGAGCCTCCGACACAGCAAGAGTATAACAACCAGGGACAAATCTCCCTGCAGAAAATTTACAATTCTCAACAAATAGTGTAGCCAAAAATAAAACATATTGCTACCTCAGATCCAACTGGAAGTCCAAAAAGCAAACAAATTAAAAGCTCTGGCCAGTAATATAATATTCAAATACCATACAATGACACATGACATACACTGAGATTTTTTTGTCCTTTTAAATTGCATTAATAGGTTGAAAGAATTGCACATATTTTCTCTTTTAGCTATTTGAAGTGTGGATAGTGATGTTACTGAGAAAATAAGGGAACATAGATAATTTCCTGTCAAAGATGAAAGCTAATCAGATGTAGAAAACCATTATGCAATGAGACTCACTAGAACACATCAAAGCACCAAAAGATATATTTATGACCACCCGACACCATCCTGCACTTATTTTAAACTTTTGAAAATCTTAAGAGCAGAAGTTTGGCTATTAGTTTCAGATAGTTTAGAATAAAGTCAATTGGCATTGAGCTTCTCGGCAAATAGGCAGTGTATCTGCTTATTCAAGTGTGTGTATGCATGCTATAAGGATAACAGAGCTTATTGCTAGAACAGTGTATAAAGGGGAGTCTGGTACCCAAAAAATGTCAATAGTATGACTACAGGTCAATCACATATGATTTGATGGGAACTATTATTTTTATTTATTTCGAAGATTTTAATTGTAAATGTAACACTAATTCAGTTAATGAAAAGTTTATTTGTTTTATCATTTGTTAAAAACAAATGTTTAAAATTTTTTTACAGAGGAAAAATCAAGAACATTATTAACAAGGCACCAAGGATCTGGATATAACAGGGGATTGACAAGTGTAATAAAATGGTTATAAAGTTCCCATGTTCTCATCATTCAGAAGAAGATAACCTTTACATAGAAAATGGTCTGGGACAAAAGGTCCTTAACTCTATCAAAAGGAAAAATATTGTCCTCAAAACCTCTATGGTTCCTTTCTTTCCATATAACCCGTGAAGTAGCCGAACTGAAAAAGGAACAGGATAAAAGTATTTTCATCCCGAATACCCTGCCGAGTCCAAATTTCATCAGCCAATGAATCAGGTATCATCCAGCTCAAGCCAAGGAACTCGAGGATAGCACACCAAAGATGAAAGTGAAAGGGTACCACAAGAAGAGATCATTTGAGGTGTTGGCTACCCTTGTACAAAGAGAGCACCGATTAACCCAAATCTTGCTTTTCCTCTTTAAATTATCACCAAAGAAGATTCTTTTCCTTATAGTCTCCAAGGCAAAGAGACGTTATTCTTGGGGTCGTATTTGACTTCCAAATAGGATTCCAAGAGAAATGCACTCTACACCAAGGGATGGAACAAGTGCTATACTGGAGAGAGACAAGAGATTAAGCAGATGGACATATTCACATACCTTTCAAACATCTAAGTGGTCCACCTCCCACACCACTTACCTTCAAGACCAGATAAAAGTCCACCAACTCCTTCCTCTTGCACATCAAGAACATCAGTGGAAAAAGATGGTCTAAGGTCCCTTCACCATGGCATTCATCTTTCCAAAACTTAACTTCCGTCTCATACATGATCTATCTGTATAAAGTTGAAGAACCCATCCCTGACAGCAATGACACTCTTCTAGAGTCCCCATATGGTTCTCCAGAAAGCTTGGTTTTCCAACACCTATCATCCAACCAAATTTGGCCAAATCACCCTCCACCAAAACCTATCTTCCTCATCGTGAATCTCCACAACCACTTAGGAGTGCCTTGTTGAAAGAGACCGACGACCTAATCCCACAGCTCCCTAGGGAAAGAGTTGTTTTGCCTGCCACTCAAGACACTTGACGGAACCTCCTCTGGTCCCCCAAAATCTGGTATCTTCCCTTGTTAAGGATCTAGTTACATGCCTAGAAACTGGGAAACCTAACCATAAAGTTGCAGATTTCTTCTGTGAATTTCTTCCATTATACCCTATTTGTGAATTTAAGTTTTAGGTTTGTTGAGAGAGAACTTAACAATTTCTTGAGCAAGAAAGCACTCAAACTTAATCCAAAAATTCATCCATACTATTTATTTCCTTCAAGATAGCCTTATATAGGAAGTAGAAAGGAAAGTCAATTGGTAAGTCATCCTACTGATTTTCTACATAAGCAATTATTAAAAGATGAGAACAATTCAAATGCTTAACTTTCTAAACCAAATTCAAACTACTTACTCCTAGTTAAATGCTTCATTGACTAAATGCATCTAGTCAACTAAAATAAAAATTAAACAATGTAATATCATAATTAGGACAAATGACTTAGTATTAAATAATTCTTCTTATTCCTCCCATGAGTTAAATGTTGATAAATCTTGCTGCTAAATGGATCTGATTTTTCTCTGCTGGTTCACAAAAGAAAGCACACCAAAGGAAACAGCATTTGAGTGCTTCAAGCGTCTTAGCCACACTGCACAAAATAGGGAAAAAGGTTTCCATAGTGAACAAAGATAGCTCGGACGCAAAGATTTAGAGGCAGTTGGCTCAATGTAGATGATAGAATACTACATTCTTTCATAGCCTTGCTAGTAAACACAAAAGATGTTACCATGTGAGAAACTGGAAGTGAATGTGCATATAATTGAAGGTAATGACGACCCTAAGAGGTGACAAAGGGGTTTCTTTCTTTCCTTTTTTTTTTTTGCTTTTTCCCCAAAAACCTCTATTA